TTTAGCATAAGTTGTTTTCAAGTGTAATGCATTCCTTTTTCACTATATGTTGAGTAATTCTTGATACACACACATTTTTCGTGTCTATGTCAGATGTGATGAGTGAACTTTAGGTGGATCTCTTGGATTCACTAGATTACTTATTGCCGAATATATATATATTGTCTCATTGTGTATAATGGTGATACGTTGTACATTTCTAATTGTATATTGTTGTTTCTAGGTCAATTTTATTCCTCTGTAGAATTAATTTTGTTTCAGATTAAAGCGTTTATCTTAAGTGGCATCTTTCTATCTTTTAAATCTTTTTGAGGTGATATGGGTAATTGGTTTAAGTTTTCGATTTACAAGCAAGTGAGTCATGAATCCCAACCCTATCCTACCTTCTTTGGTTTGGACGATCGGGTAGTATCCAAAATCCCTCACACGCTTCATATGACTCCCGTAGCCTAGTACACATAAACCTGTACTGGGAAACCCTGAATCTAACTCTCAAACTGTTTGACACATTTGTCGGTAAAATGTACTTGTGGCATCTATAAAAGCGGATTCCGACTTATGTTACCACTTGCCACAGTTAGCGGTGCTATAACTAATTTATTATCAATGCAACTGAACTCTCTTGTTTTAATTATTATTATTATTATTATTATTATTATTATTATTATTATTATTATTATTATTATTATTGTCATTAAACTAACTTTTCGCCGTCCCAGTTTCCTTGCACTCTCTCTCCCTCTCTCTCACTTTGCTTTATTCTTATCTAAACACTTACAGTTTGCTTTGAGTTCGTTGTGTGACTTTTAATACGACAGAATAACGTTCTCAGTAGCTCGCTCGGCATGCGCAGTATATGTTTAAGACATCTCAGTCGACCAACCCTCACAACATAAACTGAATAACCTGTATCACCTAGACGCCCTCACTTGACCTCAACACTACTCACAGTGATTCCACCACATGCAAGCAATGCTCTGAAGATACCTATGATCAGAATCCTGTTACCGCTTCATGTCTGCTACTTCTGACAGCCATGTCTCACAGCTGCCTTCACAAGGGGAAGGAGGTGGGTTAGAAAATGTTGGTCCGAAGAAAGGCACACTAATCCCTCCCACACGGTATCTCGTTACTGCTGGGATGGCTTTTCTCCATCCAGGTTTAGGACAACCAAAACTCTAAACATCGGCGTGCAAAAGGCTGTGTGACACTTCAGGCAAATGTATCATGACTTCTGTCGTCACATAAGTCGTTTCATCCCGTAGCTACCTTAAGAAGAAATAGCCTAACACTGTGTACCCAGCCAAGAACATTCAATTGCCAGCACGCTCCCAGCAGTACACAAAACTATCCTCCTCAAATTTGTCCGCCCATTCCCTTCATCTCCTGATATTATATCAAACTCCTTACACCTCCCCAAAACCTCTCATTCTCCGACCATTGCTAAAGATCAAAGCCTCCGGAAACTCGCTACTAGTCAAATAAGAACCCGCCAATGGTTTAACATCGAAATTCCAACGTCACAACACGACACAAAATCAAACGGCAAGTATCGCTAGCCAGAATTCTGGTATCTCCAGCCATCAACGTATGTCGTCGTACTGAAACAAGTATACAGAACACAAGTAAGCGACTGACAGATAAAATCAACGTAGGACATCACACACAGGTGCATAGGGTCAAGTTGCCACATTTCACAGTAGTATGCAAAGAGAATGTAGATGCAGAAAGAGTGATATCAAAGTACACAAACTTGTGTCCGAAAATAAACTACCTGAAGACCAAGGTTAGTGTAAGCATTCAAGCTTCAGAAGATGTCAAGGAGTGAATACATCTGCACCACTGTGACCGATTTTCAGCCATGTCACTAAGAGTCCTCAACCACTGATTCCTTTCGTCTCTGGGACCCTAACCACAGCCAGGCAGTTCACATACCTCAGACCAACGATCATGGACTGGAACTTGGTCTTCATCTGGTCACCCTCATCTCTCTTCTAACTTAATCCATCTTCCCCTACCGAGGTAGGTGGTAGCTCGCATGGCATGCACAACACATGTTAAAGATATCTCAGTCGACTAAGGCTTGCAACTTCATAAATCGGCTTGCATGTTTTTGCCTAGTACTCCTCACCTAACCTGAACATTGCTCATATAGTGATTACACCACACACGATCAATTCTATAAAGATATCTAGGATCAGAATTATGTTGCCGCTTCATGTCTGCTACTTCCAATAGCCATGTCTCACAGCCGTACAAAATGACGGAATGAACTGCAGCGCAGTGTATGTTTGCATCTTACTGGTCACAGGGAACAGGTGAAAGTAAAGCCTTTCGTCGACTGGGAGATCAGAACGTGAAGTAAGTATTTAGAGCGGAGTTAGCTAAGCTTTTATCGATACGTAACACTGAAGCTGGAATGGTATTAGGTCTGCTGTGTAAACAGCTGTAAAGATAATAGATAACCTACACCCGAAGGTTAGAAAACCTCATTGGATTTCCGTGAGATCATCCGAACTGATTGATAGTGGAAGATTTATTGAAGCTGGTTAGCTGTGACCACGATGAAGAGCGAAAGCAACTCAATTATGAATTGACCAAGATTCTTCGTGTTGATCGTGAGCAGTGACCGGTAAGGAAAGTGAGAGAGATGGAGAAGGCGTCAACGCTGGATAATAATCGGCAATTATTTAAGCTTATTGAGAATCCCGCGAAGAGGAAGATAGTGGTCAGTGAAAGCATCACCGAAAAGGATGGGACGCTGATGAAATCGAAGGACAGGGGCTGAAACGTTTGGCAGAAGGCTTTGAAGCACAGTTAAAGTAGTCCTTAGCAATGCTTCAGTTGGCCAACATTCAGCCTGAACCTGAATGGAACTCGATCTTCCAACTCTCCTTGAAGCTGAGATAGGTGTGCCGAAAGTGAAACGACGAGAAGCAAGCAGCATGACTTGATAGTTTGTGACTTGAAGTTTTCAAAGATGAAGATAGGAAATTGGAGATTTGAGTGACTGAGGTACTAGGCAGTGGATGTAAACCAGGGGTGGATCCATGAGACTAGTCTGTCTCACTAATCATTTCACACGATAAGAAAGGAAACATCTTCGAGTGACAAACAGAGGTGGGTCAGTTAGCCAACATCCTACCCAGGATCCACAATTATCTGACTCCTAAATGCAGCACGAAAACAGTAAATTCGAGAAAAGCAGGAAGGTTTTCGACAGAGCTGGACCTGTGTGCATCGATGATATTTGCACCCTTTGATAGGTCCTGGAACACAAGCATACCTACCGGTCAGTGACCGACACTTGCTATATATGATTATCCGTAGGCGGGGTTTGACTGAGTCTACTGAGAGGTGTTGTGGCAATGTCTGACTGTGAAGGGATTACCATGTAAAGTAGAAAATAATAATCAGCATTTCTTGACACATTTTCAACTATAAGGGAATGCAGTCAGTAAAAAAATCAGTGTATAGGAAATCTACATGGACGAGACTCCACCTAAACTTTCATAGCTTCTGTCTAACACAATAAAAACGAGGTTTAGTGAAATGCTTATTCAAAAGGAACCAACGTATCTGTACAACAGATACATTGGAAGAGGTAATCAATTTCTCAACAGGGCGCTCATGAAAAACGGATATCCCTTGAAGTTGATCAGTCGTTAAAAAAACGTTTCAATAATGTGAACTACTCAGTATTCTATCTCGAGAAAGGACGTTTACATCATGCTACCGTATAAGTGAGAATCAGACAGTATGATCTTAAGACGAATGCATAATGCGGGTATTAAAAGCAGCATAATATTTAGCCAAGCTCAGTATGATTGGGAAAAAGAAACCTATGCTTCAAAACAAACCTCATCACTACATAGAGAATTGTATTACACCCCTTTGTATTTGCCAAGTTACATGTGTATGCGGAAAGATTAGTCGAACTATGAATTTGAGGGTGGTGGGACATTTTCACCTGATGTCTGAAAGACAATTATGTTCTAATAGGTCAATAAATACTGGTGCCAGACAGACATCCTCGTCTTTAGTTAAACACATTATGGAAACAGGTCACAGAGTTCACCACAAAACAGCCATCATAACTGTATACTTAGGTTGATATAAGCTTCACCCCACCCCTGCCTCGCCATCCTTTGTATATTTAAGAACAATCCGTTCTTCCCTTAAACTACTATGATGATCTTTATCTCATTTTAATGTCAAGGAAGGTGTGAAAATGTAATATTCTTCTCTGTTTTCACACCGTTACCTTTGTGGTATGATTCGTGTTTCATGTTGTCCCACATCAGTATGCGGAAGTCAAGTATGGGATTTGAAGGAGAAGATGGAAGTCGGTTAGTGTGGTAGTGAAAATTGACTGACTGGGAGACGTGTGACGTATGCCCAGTCACTATCTACCTCGTTACAGTATGTTAACTGAAGTAGGTTTACGATGAGAAAAGAGTTAAAGCTGATCAGACTAAAAGTATCGGACCATTACGTAAAGTCTTTGGGGCGTGTATGGAATTTGCATGACAACAGAAACCAGCGGTGGTTAGAGAGTGTTGCTAGGTGATATGGCTTAGAGTCGATCTTAATGGTGCAGGTATATGCACACATTGCCTTCATCATAATCGTTATACTGAATTCAGAGTCTCTTCATTCCTTCTTCCTCTCTCTTACTACTCTTGATTGATTCTTCTTTATTTCCTCGATTTTCGTCTTATTGCTTTTTTACGTCATCTGCTTGTGGTCGGAGATGTGGCAACTTGAAGCGTGTTTCATAGCAAAGTCGCATGCTTTGTTGATGGTGATGAGGGCTGTCGATCGACTGCCTACAACAATCAAACTGCAGTGAATACATTAGGGTTAGTTAGATAAGATGATATTTGCTCACTTGATGGTAGTGATTAATCGAATGTAAACTTTTGCTTTCTCTCTTTTCTCTTCATTGTTATATGAATGAACAAATGAATGTCTAGGTTTGTCGATTAGCCTATGAATTAATGCAATCGAATTATTTGGAATTTGGTGATGCAAGTCAACAATTTCATTCATTAGATGATATTTACTATTTTGGTGGTCAACAATCATCCCCATATGAAGTGATTATACCAGATGATGAAAATAATTTACAACTTGGTGAATTAGTTCACTTTTATGGAAATCATTGGAATGGTTATTCTAAAGTGGAAAAATTGAATTCAAATCGTAGGATAATTGCACCAGCGTTTAAATTCTCCCCAAGGATAATAACCGCCAATATGACTGGTGCACATTGAGACAGATAGAATGTATAGAGAAGAAGCAGAAGATATGACTGTTTACAAATACTTTACTGTATCTTTCTGTCGTCTATCCTTACTTGTAGAATGGAAATTGTTTTTCTTCTTTTGATACACAATTGTTGTTTTTATTTTATATTTTACATGCTATCTGATTCAGACATACATGGTTTGTTTTGTTGAATTGTAAAACTGAAGTCGACAGTAGTCCCCTTTCCTCTGACTGCCTCGTTTTTCTCACAGAATACACGTATGTGTGTGTGTGTGTATGTGAGAGAGAGAGAGGATAACATGAAGAAAGGGTGATTGTGTACTGCCTTGTCCTTTGATTTAATGACAGAATAAGTGAGTCTTGTGTACATTTCTTCTGCATCTGAATTCGAGAATCATGTACATGTGTTGTAGATGGATTAATTGTTTCGATGAAATTCCTTTGTCTTACATTAAACTTATACACATGAACCCACCATAGAAAGAAGTTTTAACTTAATCAATGACTGACATCAGTTGGAGGAACAAAGGAAACCTGAGAGCACTGGACAGCTGTTTCGTCCTAGTATGGGACTCCTCAGCAGTGCGCACCCACGACCCCACCAGCAGGGATCGAACCCGCGACCTTCAGGTTCCGCGACCAGCGCATTACCATTGAGCCACTGGGTCAGAATCCAATGCTCCATATTTCCAACTTCTGTTAGCTCACGATATAGCGCAAACCGCCACCCAATGTCATCGTAGAGTATTTGTCCTCACGGCCATCAGGCTTTGACTCCACCGGTCACGACTTGTCATTGGAACTTCGGGAATACTTCTCGAAGCTAGTCACCAACGAGCACTAGTTCAATTAAATTTTGAGGGGGTTGTGGAGATTTGGAAATATTTCAAGTTGTTATTCATCGAAGACTGACATCAGTTGGAGGAACAAAGGATCCCTGCTGGTGGGGTCGTGGGTGCGCACTGCTGAGGAGTCCCATACTAGGACGAAACAGCTGTCCAGTGCTCCCAGGTTTCCTTTGTTCCTCCAACTGATGTCAGTCTTCGATGAATAACAACTTGAAATATTTCCAAATCTCCACAACCCCCTCAAAATTTAATCAATGACTGTTTTTATCCTCATTTATTTGTTAACTTGTATGTGATTGCTCATTGCTCATTTTATTGGCACTATTATTACCTTGGATGAGAACAATTTGGTTCTGTTGACGGTTGAAGTAGCCGTGACCTTTTGTAAGGATAAGTTGAGCAGTACATAGTGTAGTGTGTGTGTGTGTATGTGTGTGCATGTGTGTATGATAGAAACAATTGAAGTTCTCCTTTTCTATCTTCTCTATCCTTTGTTACTTCAAATTCACTTTTCCAGTTTGTTTTGCATGGTATGGGTTCACGCTTTCATTCCTCTTCTTCTGTTGCTGCTGCCACCTCTACTTTTTAACATGGTGTATATTGTATGTATGAATTTGTTTCGCAGTTTTTTTTATTACTATTTTGGTCATTTGTGCAACACATAACACAAGTGCGTCCCATAGGTGTGATTTTCTTATTCATTTAAAAGCATAACACTTCTGCATGGTCAGATTGACCCTTTGCATCGAATCACTGATGGTATCTGTTCTAACTGGATTCGATATATGGGACTGGGCTAGTTTATCTTATTGGTCGCAATATTCATCAATTGCCTATTTTATTTTTATTGATTAAGGATTGTCTCTTTACTTTTCTCTTTTCTCCCCTACGATTTTGTATATTGTGCATTGGTGTTGTTTTGTTTCTTATGGTATGTGTTGTACGCCTTTTCACTTTATCTCTTATAAATCTCTTAATTGTTGGCCTGTTTTTCTTTTCAATAAATTCTTTTCAGCACACAGTGTGATGGATGTTTACTGTATTCCTGATGCGTAGCCATATACATATATGCATCTCACCAAAGTGGATAAATTAGGAGAGGTTGAGCAATTCAGCCCTGTACAGCAATAGGAAATTACAATTATCATTACAACAACTGTTACCCGTTACACAAGAAGTCGCTGTTGCGCTGCAGTGGCTTACTGGATAGTACTGCGGTGTCTGGAGAGAAGGGTACCTGGTTCGACCCCCGGTAGGAACAACATCACTCACAGGAGGGGAAGGTACATCCAGCTGACGAGTCCCAAGTGGAACAAAACACGCGTTCTGAATTTTTGTGCTAGTTACCAAGATCATTAAGAAGTTAAATTTGTTTCAATGTTAATAAGATGTAGGAAGATAACAACGAGTTAAAGTTTATTTCACCTTTGTCTTCAGAAAAAGCATTTCTACTTGTCTGCGATTCATTCATAAACTGAAATTACGACCTACCTTCAGTATAGGTAATTGTTTTGTTGTGCAGTATTACCTATATGATGAATGACGGTTACCAACAAGCACATCCTAGGTTCAAGACTTCCTTCTGATTGTCTTATTTAACTAACAGTTATGCTTAAATAGATCTTTCACAATCACTTGAAGTGAGTAGACCTATTTTTCAAAAGTAGAATATTGGAAGTCATTTTGAAAATATTCAATTAGTGTAGCATACAGTAGGATAGCCTTTAAAGGCAAGTGCTTGTGAAATCTAAGTGGCGACATATAGAGTCAAACCAAGTGATGCGCTAAATCCAAAGTGAGGTCATAACAAAAATACTAGAGTTTATTCCAAGTAGCAGTTGAAATTAAGACCATAATCGAGTGTGTAGCCTTCAAGATTACTAGCCGAATGCTCTTGTAATTGAGATGCAAAATCACCCACTGATGTTGTCTTCAATTGAATTCACTCACCAACGTTTTTATTCAGATGTCATACACTAACAATAACGTACACCTATGTCACTCTAGTAGGTTCAGCTACCAAAGAAATCTTAAGGAAAGATGAGAGTGGAAAGTGACAGCTAAGCATCCCAAGAACAGTGTGAAATTCAGGTAAGCAACTCAGACCAAAAAAAGAATCGAACTAACAAGAAGAGTCATGTATCTACTTGATTTCACAAATTCAGCAAGAGTATGAATGAGGAATTTTGCTTGTTACGATAGTGTCCTGGTAATCAGTCTAAGCAGGAACTCATAACTAATTGACATCAGTAGGGAAAGCCACTGAAAGTATACGATAATTCGAAACATGTGAAGAAGAGGCAGTGAGCACAAACTAATTACCGAGAAATTGAACAAAGGAATGAGAGGTCTCATGAAGAACACGCCCATTCAGACCACAGCTCACCGACACTGTAGGATGAACTGTATTATTTACACGAATCGATAGCCAGCGGGAAAACGATGTAGCTGTGTAGTCGTTCCTGCTGAGCACTGATCATAGTATACTCATCATCTTTTTTACTGTAGGCAGTGAGCGAATAAAGGTGAAACTGTGACCAACTGTGTTTAGTGTTATATATTGAGAGTGGATCGACAAGAACCCCATGTTCACCTAGTATACGCAGTTCTTGACACCTACCAGGAAGGTGTGCAAGGGGAAACTTATGATATCTGAGTGGCTGGGACCTGAGTCATTAAATGTCGACTGCAGTCAGAAATTCACGCACGCAGGTATTCAGGCCTTTTAGGACAGAGTGCATTATGTAGACGAGTTCTTGACCAGTAAGTAATGAGTATAGCTGTCTAGTCCGTAATGCTCACCGCTGTTTTAATCAGTTCACCGTCTTTTGCAATGTGATCTGTCAGAGAACTGAAGGGACACTACGATGTATTGAATTTGCGTGCATGACCTTACGAGTTAATCAACGACTCGCCCTGTTGACTAAAGTTTTGTGTTTGTTGGTCTTCAACATCGAGACGTGTTTATAAAGTTGTGGAAAACTGTGTCTCCTAGGTGGCCGAAACCTAGGTCACTCGAGTCTAGCTGAAGTCAGAGGTTCAAGCATTAAGATCTTCATATCGCGACAGACTAACACATTTTAGATTAAACTGGACTGTCTAGACGTATTTGTGACTATTGGGTAAGCCTTGTAGTTGTCTGATACTGACTGCTTAGCATAGATTCAAGTTATATGATAGAGTCTTGTGATACGGCCATATAGCGAGTTCATGACTGTATTGCGATGGACTGTATTTTGCAGTTGAATGTTGAGAGTCAGTCAACCCCTAGTCCCAGGTGTCTTACATGATATCACCTACTACAAAAGCTTACCTAGTGGCCCAAAAATGTTAAGATTTCATGGTTGACTAGAAATAAAAGCGTTAAGCTATCCCAGTGGCAGCAGATCGATGTTCTGTAAGATGGACTCCATTACAGAAACCGATCCGCGGTCTCTGGGTATAAGGTTCAGTTGTTTAGCACTGACTTCAGAGTAAACATCGAGACTAACTGATAAAACTATTCAAAACTTCGAGTGAACGATGTGAGACGAAACTGTTTCATAGTAATGTACTTCTGGATGTTAAAAAGGAATCAGCAGTTGGCTGTGCTTGTTGGCACTCTCCAGTAAGGCTTAATTCCAATCATGAAGTAATTTCTGTTAACTTGGTGAATGAAAACTGTGTCAATCTGTGCTAGTGGTGGTAAGAAGAACAATCAATAATCTATGCATATCAAGACTGACCAATTCCATGTATGATAAACTAGGTTATAAAGATGAAGTTTTGATCTACTGTTACCTGAGTGACTGAAACCTGCATCACTCAACGCTAGGTTGATTCGAAGACTCAAGCACTAATCTGTGTTTGTTGGATGTTCTCGTTTCAACAAAAGCAGCATCACTCACGAGGATGCAGAAATATCTAACTAACGAGTTACAAATCAGAAGGACTGTAGGTACTGGATTCCCCTTCTGGTTACCAATCCGATTCAATATCAAGTTGAATTAAGCGATCGTACAGGAGATTCGTATAGAAACCGATCATTTCGGTCAAAACTAATTAATAACAAGACTGTACTCAATCTAAATACATTTCGTAGGAAGTAGATATCGTCGTCATAATTCAGTAGCCAGTGTGACAAATCTAATGGATTTCAAACGATAGATGTTGCATTG